AGATGAGCAGGAACAGTTGATTCGCACGGCAGACATGGAGATCCAGATTTTGTGTTTGTTCGTTTGTTTTTAATATTCAACAGGCAAAGTTCTTCTGTATCTAAATGCAAAAATGTTCATAATTGTTTGAATAAAACAGACTACTGGGGAAAAAAATCTGAATATTTATCTTATGACCATCTTGAGACTATTTTAACAAAAGCAACAATAATATAATAATTGTAATAATAATAAGAATAATAATATATTTATTTATATATATAGGTCAATGGCCCTTGGCTTGGTATTGTTGGCAGAATTCGGCCCTCGGCAAAAACTAATTGAGGAACCCTGGTCTATATATGACTGTCTGTATATAGTCAGAAACATTAAAATCAATATAATAATTCTAGCCGAAATGATTTTAACTATGCTTTTTGCCCTAATATCAAGTCTTCTTTTGACAGACTCGATATATAAGTTAATTTTATTTATGAATTAACATTTGTTTTTTCATCAAATAGTTTTTTTAGAATAGCTGAATCTTATATAGGTATATAGGTATTTTTTTTCATCTATGTTAGCCAACTGTTTGACAAGCAGAATTTACAACCAAATGTCACTGAAAATTAAATGTTTTCGTTTTCTAAAGGCAAGAAACCACATGCACATGATCAACAAATGTAACATACAGTGATGTTCAATCATCTGGCCCCAAACTCTCTCACACCGGCCCCTTGCCAGCAGGCCGTCCTTACTGTAAATTACTTTACTGCAAAAGTGATGCCTTCCTTAGCAGACACCACTAATAATGCAGTGTTACGTAAGGTAGAATTGGATGTGTTTCAAGGATTCGTTTAGCATTAGTCAAGCCAATGGGAGGATGTGTGAATTGTGAGAGACTTAATTACTGACTAAAGTCGTAAGGCTTTGCTAATCGTTGGTTTGCTGATGTACTGGGAGCCACAAACGAGGATAGACTCGACGTTATAGAGCGATTCTCCCTCGTGCTAACAGTTCAATTCCCAGGCCTCTTGTTAGAAGCAGTTAAACTAAGAGGTCTTCCTTCAGAACTAATGAGCCTACACAGAACGGCAGACAAAGACACAGAGATTAAAGGGTCGATGTGGAGTTTATACACTCCTTCGCCTTTACCATAATGCAAAAAGGAGAATTTTTCTTTTCATTTGCAGGCGCTGATCTCTCTCTCTCCCCCCGCTCGCACACATACACGTCTTCTGCCACTCTTCACACCCTTTCTTTGTGTTCTCTCAGGATTAGCTGGCTCTTGTCAAAAAGAAAAGGCGGATTTCATTTAATGGAGAGAGGGATTTGAAGAACAGACAGGTTTACAAGTTGCCTTTACCTCTGCGTGTACGGAAAGCTCTCTCTACGGCGCTAAGCTGTGCCATTCAGAAAGTGTGCAGGGTTTGGATAGCGAGGCACAATGGCTTCTAACTAAACTGCCCATTGTCGACGGTTAAAAACGAACTTTAGAATGATTACTTTAGCTCTTAAAGTGCAATTGTGCAAAGCTTAGTGCTTGAACATATGCTGGCTACATTTGATTGTTGTACTGTAGTTATGTGGTATTGAGAGAAGCTATGCAGTTTAAATCTGTGACCATTTGGTAGGTAGGTAGGTAGGTAGGTAGATAGATAGATAGATAGATAGACAGACAGACAGACAGACAGACAGACATAGACAGACAGATAGATAGACAGACAGACAGACAGACATAGATAGACAGACAGACACAGATAGACAGACAGATAGATAGACAGACAGACAGACAGACATAGATAGACAGACAGACACAGATAGACAGACAGATAGATAGACAGACAGACAGACAGACAGACAGACATAGATAGATAGACAGACATAGATAGACAGACAGACAGACAGATAGATAGATAAATAGATAGACAGACAGACAGACAGACACCGATAGACAGACAGATAGATAGACAGACAGACAGACAGACAGACATAGACAGACAGACACAGATAGTCAGACAGACAGACACAGATAGACAGACAGACAGACACAGATAGATAGACAGACAGACAGACAGACAGACAGACAGACAGACAGACAGACAGACAGACAGACAGACAGACAGACAGACAGACAGACAGACAGACAGACAGACAGACAGACAGACAGACAGACAGACAGACAGACAGACAGACAGACAGACAGACAGACAGACAGACAGACAGACAGACAGACAGACAGACAGACAGACAGACAGACAGACAGACAGACAGACAGACAGACAGACAGACAGACAGACAGACAGACAGACAGACAGACAGACAGACAGACAGACAGACAGACAGACAGACAGACATAGACAGACAGACACAGACAGACAGACAGATAGATAGATAGATAGATAGACAGACAGACAGACAGAATTATTTGATTATTATTAATCTTATTAAATATTATTTGATTCTATTTTATTTAATTAGTTGTTGAATAATTTATCTTTATATTATTTTGAATAAACATCTTGATCTTATATCTTTAACATTATTCAAACAAATATTAATGAATAAACTAAATTTTGAAGAGACTATTTAAAATAACTGTTTTCTATTTGAATATATTGTAAAATGTAATTTATTCCTGTGATTTCAAAGCTGAATTCTTTGCATCATTACTCCAGTCACATGATGCTTCAGAAATCATTCGAATATACTGATTTGCTGTTCAAGAAACATTTTTTATCATCATTTTTTATTTCTTACTTAAATTTACTTTTGACTGGTACTATATTATTTATTTTTATTTTATTTTTTCAGAGATTAGACATTATTCAAAAGTTTTATTTTTATTTATTATGAATATATATATATATATAATATATATAAGATTTAACCATTTTTAATATCTTCTGATGTTAAACGTTAAAAGTTACATAAAATATTAAATTGAAATATATATTTGAGACTGTAAATTATTCAAATAATTGCATTCAAAATAAAATGATTATAACATTTAGAAGATTAGAAATAAGTTCATTCAAAATTAAGTCAATTCTATTTTTCAAGATTATTTGATATTTTTTAAATTCTATTCTATATTATTCTATTTTATTTAATTAGTTGTTGAATAATTTTATTTTATAATCTTTATTTGGTTGAATAATCTTTATTTTATTTTGAATAAACAGCTTGATAATCTTATATCTGAAACAATAGTTTTATTTAAAATAAAAATAAAATAATATTAAAGAGACATTATTCGAATAAAAAGTTTTTTTTATTTCATATTTTTTACTATGGATATATATATATATATATATATACAGACACATACACAGTGTACAGTACACATACACACACTGTATCATAGAAAATCATATAAATCATATACATATGAATACAAATCATTTAAAATGGTGCTTTATTTGAATAATTTGTTGAATTTTAATTTTAAGATAATTCCAATTGCTTCCCATCTTGCATTACCTTAATGCGATTCACAAAGGATACATTTATTTGTATAGTCTTTTATTTAAGGGTTTTGGATTGTGAAACCCTTCAATGTGAGTCGAAGCATTGTTCAGTTGTGCTGAAATATTTGTGAAACTTGACAATTATCTTTGAGAAATCTTTTGATTATGAGGTTGAAGCACAGGATTCAAGGGCAGTTGGAATTAATGAACAGGTGTTGTAAAGAATTAAGAAGAACATTGAATGTTTGCTTGTTGTTTTGGCAGACCGGACGGCATGGGCACAGTGACAGAACAGGAGAAGGAGGAGTTTGAGGAGATCAGGAGCAGACTGCTGACTTTACTGGAGAAGCAGATCACACATTTCAGGTAGAACAAGCTCCCACGTCCACTTCTGCCCTGAAATAGAGAAATAGCAATGGAAAAATCAATGCAAAAATATAAATAATAGCTAACTATACACATTATAGAGTTTTATACAATATAGATGATTTCAAAGCAGCTTCTTGACAGAGAGTTGTCATTATCCAGCTCCATTCAGTTTAAGTTCAAGTTCTCTTCCAATAGTGTTCTTGCAGTCAATTTGATAATATTATTGAATATTAAAGGAATAGCTCACCCAAAAATGAAACTTTGCTGAAAACGTATTTACCCTTGGACCATCCACGATACAGATGAGTTTGTTTCTTCATGTGAACTGATGTGGAGAAATGTAGCACTACATCACTTGCTCACCAATGGGTCCTCTGCAGTGAATGGGTGCCGTCAGAATGAGAGTCCAAACAGCTGATAAAAACATCACAATAATCCACACCACTCCAGCCCATCAGTTCATGTCTTGTGAAGTGAAAAGCTGCATGTTTATAATAAATAAAGAACCTAACTGACCATCAAGACATTTTTACTTCAATAATATCGCTTTCTCCAGTGAAAAAGCTGTTTTGTCTGAATCAGGAGAGAAATATGCACAGATGAAGCACCGTTTACAAGCCAAAACATTTCTAAACAAAAATGTTGGTGGATTTTGATATGAGAGGACAAAAGTAGATGAATTTTTTCACTGGAGGAAGCATTATTATTGATTATGGACTATTATCTTGGCCAGAATCGCTAGTTTAAAGTTAAAAAATGATAACAATAGATTTGTTTCTTACAAACACACAGCTTTTCACTTCACAAGATGTTAATTGATTGACTGGGAGTGGTGTGGATTATTGTGATGTTTTTATCAGCTGTTTGGACTCTCATTCTGACGGCACCCATTCACTGCAGAGGATCCATTGGTGAGCAAGTGATGTAAAGCTAAATTCCTCCAAATCAGTTACGATGAACAAACAAACTCATCTACATCCTGGATGGCCTGAGTGTGAGTGCATTTTTAGCAAATATTCATTTGTGGGTAAACCATTCCTTTAAGCATTGTTTTAAACATCAATCTTGTAATTACAATGTAATAACTGGTTCCTGTATCCAAATCAGTTGATAACCCCTGTATAACATCTCAGTGGACCGTTTACTCATTTACCACACCCCCTCCTGATGGGTCCTCGTTTTGAAGCGACCTCCCGCTGGCCCTCCTGTAGCGTACTGGAAACACTAGTAAAGAGGGTTTTAGTCTTGCGGTTGCAGCGACACTGAATAACCAGCTAAAACCACTCAAACAAAAGCTACGAACAACATCTTGGATTATGCAAATGGACAAGGCCGGTGCGGGCGTGCCGGGGATTAAGCACGGTGCCCAACCCAAGCTGATTAGAGCTTGTTGAGTTACTTGATAAGTGTGCCTCTTGCCCCGTACGCACGGAAAAAAACACACTGAGGGCCGTTCGGGGGGCAATTTCACACCTGTGGTGTGAGGTCTCCATGAGAAGCACTTCCCTTTGGCCTTCATTCATCCCTCCTGGCATTGTCCGTGCGCACGCTGACACCTGTCCCTCCTCGACAGGCTTTGGAAAACATCTCTATTTAAGAGATGTAATTATTGTCCCATGATAGCTGAGAAACAGCAGTCTGTGACTGACTCCTTCAGTTTGCGCTCCGTATTCTTTCTTTTTAAGCCGTCAGTTAATTACCACTCGAGTTTTACCTTTGTCTTCTTGCCTGTAGGTACTGTTTCCCCTTCGGGCGACCGGAGGGGGCTCTTAAAGCCACGCTCTCTCTTCTGGAAAGGGTGAGTGTCTGCCAATTAACTGTGCATGCTTTGCATCTTATATCAATGTCTTGTGTGTAGTAGCTTGTGATAAAAAACTTAAAGCGTAATTTCATAGGTTCTGATGAAAGACATCACCACGCCGGTCCCACCTGAGGAGATGCGTAAGATAGTTCAGAAGTGCCTGGAAAAAGCTGCGCTCATCAATTACTCCCAGCTGACTGAATACGCCCAGATTGAAGGTTTCTCACTGAATACTTTTCAGGGCTCAACAGTAAGGCTTTTTTTTTTTTTGCTGGCCCTGTCAGATATGAAAATCCAGAACACCTGCCGGTGTTTTCAGTAGCTCCAGTACAAAAACATACACTAATGTTCAAAAGAAATGAGTACTTTTATTCAGCAAGGATGCAATAAATATATTAAAAGTGACAGCAAAAAATGTATAATGTTACAAAAGATTTGTGTTTCAAAAAAATGCTGTTCTTTTGAACTTTATATTCATCAAAGAATATAATACTTTTTTTAATATTTAAAATATTATTAAAAATGTTTTTGACATTTATTCCACATCACAGGAATAAATTACATTTTTAAATATATTACAATACAATATTACAATTGTATTACAATAAAATATTACAATATATTACAATAAAATATATATGTATATATATTACACACATTATAATATATATTTTAAATATTATTAAACATGTTTCTGACCATTTTTCATCAAATTTAAAGGTTTCTTTTCAAAGAAAATGTGCAATAATAGCTGTAAATTATACAGTTAATATAATACAGGAAACTCAGTGGCAGCAGTTAATCCATAAACATTTACATAGCAAAACATACTACCAAGAATATCACAAATAAACTTAATTAAGTGTGTGTGCTGTCTCAAAATGTGAAGTTTAGTCAACTTGAAATGTGCAGTTGTCTTAACTGACAGCAAGTTAAATCCAGAGAAGTTTTAAACGTAAACTTAAAATTGTGATCGTTTATTGTCAAAATGAGTGTAGCTGACAAAGTCCTTATTGTTGAGCCCTTTTGATACATTGCTTTATGATCTCAACCTATAAACATGTTTGGAGTGGTTGACAACTAGTGTGAATGTTGTGATGCCTGTGTTTCAGCAGACAGCGGTCAGGCGTCTCCCGAGAGAAGGCTGGAGGATATGATCAGACTAGGAGAGTTGTGTATGGAAGTGTTACAACAGAACGACGAGCATCACTCTGAGGTAAAACCCACAGAAAACCCATCTCTTCATAAAGACTGGCTAACGGTGGCGTGTTGTCTCAGTCCAAACTAGTTCCTGCTGAGAAAGCCTTCATTTAGTCTTTGTATCAATGCTTTTTCTCATATTCAATATCCAACGCAATATTCCGCACCAGCAGCATTGATCTTGTGACGTCTCTTTACAACATATGTTCAAAGAAGCCTTCAGTCACGTAGACAGAGAATCAATCTTTGTTTATCATCAGGCCTTTTGGCGTTGCATGTTGCTCCAGAAGGTATTGCATGATCATTTCAGAGCAGACTCGTGATCATTTACCGTCTCGCTGTCCATTTACTTTGCCGCGTTGCCATAACAGCTGTTAGCGAGTGACAGCTTAGCCGTCCAATGCCAGCTCATAGTAGTGGCGCAGGAAAACAACGCCCACGGCCCATCTGCACAGGGCCAGCGCCCGCTAACGCTCTCACATCAACATTCAAAAAATACAAGATCGAAGGAAAGCGATCAATCCTAGGTGTTCAGGCTTCGCTAACAGGGATGTGATAGTTTGCTAAATAAAAATGTGAATGCAGACATCTGCTCGCGGGCTATTTTTAGTCCTCAAGCTTCCAACAGCTGTCACAGACAACAGAGACAATGATGCCAAAACGCTTGTGCCTAACAAGACAAATGTCCCACATGCTGTCACTAAGGAAACATCAAGGTGTGTGCGTGGTGCGCTCACGTCTACATTAGTGAAATAATGTTCACTTGCAATTTGTAAAACATTGTCTCATAGTGTGTACTGCGTTTTCAGTGTTCGAATGCATATGTTGAATACGCATGAAGACGGCAAAATGTTTTTCTATCTGATATTTCTCTCTTTCTCTCTTCCGCTCCTGTGTTTGTAAATGCATTAGGGAAGAGAGGTAAGAATCTTATATTTCACTCTTATGTTGTGTTGTGTTGTGTTGTGTTGTGCTGTCATTAGCAAGAAATACACGGCGGCTTCTCTTTTGGACAGCCCCATTTATTTTATCAGTTATGATTTTACAAGCAGATTGGATATGGATGTAAGATTTTGTTTAATACATTTATTCAGCGAGGATGCATTAAATTAATCAAAAGGGACAGTAAAGACATTTACAATGTTACAAAATATGTCTACTTCAAATAAACTTATATTCATCAAGGAATCCTGAAAAATGTAACATGGTTTCCACGGAAATATTAAGCAGCACGATTATTATCAATGTTGTTTTAAACATTGATAATAAGAAGAAATGTTTCTTGGACAGCAAATCAGCATAATAGAATGATTTCTGAAGGATAATGAGACACTGAAGACTGGAGTAATGATGCTGAAAATTCAGCTTTGCATCACAGGAATAAATTACATTTTACTATAATATATATAATATAAAACATTATTCTAAATTGCAATATTTAACATTTTTACTGTATTGTTGATTAAATCTTTTTAAACCCCAAACCTTTGGGGTTTTTTTCTTCAGAAATTCAGTTATTTTATATTAATATAGAATACATAAAACGTGTAATGTTTATATTAATAGGTTATGCATTAACGCATTATTTATATTTAGTATATATATTTAGTTATTTTATATTTCCAAAATATTTATATTAATGTGATGCAGTATTTATATTTAATATAAATAATACTCAATTGCATACAAATGCAAAAAATCGCATGCAATCCAGGCTGAGATTGTTAGGAAATCCTTTAAATGAAGATGGTTTGGTTGTATATGCTAATTATTAACTGTGGATATTATAACATGAGTAAGAATAAATGTATATATGTAGTTTGTGTTAGAACCTCTCTGCAAATATAAATTTGAACCTTTGTACACAATTATTAGCGAATGAGACTCGCTCTTTTTTATTGTATCTTCATGAAAGGACATAAGATAACAATGTCAATAACATAATTAGTGAAATAAAACGCTGTGATGTGCACTGTGCGAAACATATTTTCCAGGTTGACTAGTTGTTTGACAGTTTAACTCACAACTAGCCAACAATCCAGACACATTCATCGAAGCAACAAAAAAAGAGTTGAGTTATTAAAAATATATTTTTTAGCTTTAATGGGGAAGGAGTTTTTAGTATGTTTTAGATTAAAACAGATACAGCAGTGAATGACTCCTTTTGCTGTTTGTCAGCTCGACGCCATACAAAACCTGTCTCTGAAAGCCCTGAAGACAAGCTCCCTCAAGGCCAGTGACTGTAAAACATTAAGTCAGACAAGAGTGACGTTCACACACACACACACACACACACACACACGAATATCCGTACACAATAGCACCCTTCAATAAGTCAGCATTCTCCTCTCCACCGTATTATTCTTCGCTGTGACTGATTGCACTTTTATCCCCATTGCTCGACACCGACCGCTTTGGACGGAAAGTTCTTGGCTCGCGCGCCAGCGTAAAGAATACAAGACAACATGGACAGGCTTTTTTTGACGCTCTCAATTAAGGTAGCTACAGCCGTCCCCAGGAATCAGCCTGTGGAAGAATGCAAAGAGAGAAATGCATTGATAGACTTGGATCTTTTCACACTGTAAAAAGTAATGAGTTGAACTTACTTGGAAAACCTGTGGAAACTGATTGCCTCAAATTTCTCAAGCAAATTAGTTTATAATTTTTGAGTTAATAAAACTCACTGTAACTTTGTATAGGTAACTTGTGTATATGTATAGGTTACCAGAAAACTTGAGTGTTGCTAACTCCTCGCTTTTCTTAAGTAGATTCAATTATTACTTTTTACAGTGAGAAGGTCCTTCAATGCACATACTGGCAGACAATAAAGAGCTCGACACAATGTAGGAGGACGCCACTGAATTTTTCCCTTTTCTCAGGAGAATTCAGAAGGATTTATGGGTTCTGGTCTGCTGCAGTCCACCATAAAAGACACGTGGATGGCTAATTGTCCTTTTTTGAACTTAACCTTTAACCTTTCTAATACGGTACCCTTTTCCAGATGTGGAACGGTTTAAAAATCAACAGACTTGATTTTATGTGCATGTGATTGTTACCTTCCACATTTAAATACGTTGGATGTTTATTTATGTAAAAGAGGTTGAAATTGATAGTCAAATGTCATTTCCATTTTTTCAGATGGCCTTAATCATCTGTTTCCCGTATTATAAACTACACTGGGGGGGAAATGGTTTTTGCTAGTAATTAACACATAAAATGAATTTAACAACATTTTGAAGTAGAAAGACTAAAGTAGTATTTTCTTCTAAGACATACTCCAATTATTTTATTTTATTGTTTTATATATTAACTATATTCTGGTCCCTAAGTATGGAAAATCCCTTCTTTAGTGGAAAATTGCATTCCAATTTAAAGTTGCTCTGCAAAATTTTGCAGGCGAAATCCAGTCATTTCAGTTGGATTCTGCATAGTCAGAAATAGAAAACATTTGATGTTTAACTTAATGTGTTACTTGCCATTTCTTTGTAATTTATTAAATGTAATACCAATTTCATAGTGAAAAATTGATTCAAAGTAAATCATAAACTTTGAATAAAACTTTTTTAGAAAAATACTACCTTTAGTACTAGCACAACTTTAGTACTAAATGTTAAGTACTTTAGTAACTTTAGTACTTTAGTACTGTATGATTTTTTTTTTTCATGTAGCACAAATAATGCTTGATGAGTTCAAAGTATAATACTTAAAGTTAGAGGTTTGTACAACTGTGTACATGCATGGTGTTTAGAAGTAACACTTTACAAAACCAAGCAAGCATGCAGGCACAGAAGCAACCTTCCATTCTCTCTGTATTTATCTCCATCTTTGTGTGCTTCTTTTCAAGGTCGCGTCATTGTATTGCTTGACTTCTACATGCTTTAGTTTCATCATTTCCATGTTTTATCATGCTTTGTTGTCAGTATCAGAGTGTTGTGTACCATGTTTAGCTCACAGTATTGTCTCTGTTGTTATACGTTGCCGTTTGGCATTATTGTTTGTGATTGTGTGTTTGCACATGTATAGAATATGTAGCATATTTCTAATAGTTTACATGTTAATGGGTGATTCTGTTCTTATAAGGGGAAACTTTGTCCATTATTATGATTGTAAGAATGCATTTATAAAAACATCTCAGTTTTTAAAGAGATAGATAGATAGATAGATAGATAGATAGATAGATAGATAGATAGATAGATAGATAGATAGATAGAGACTTGTTTTCACAAGTCAAAGACTTCCCTGGTTTTTGCAAAAACCTGAAAAAATAAATAAATAAAAAATAATAATTACCAAAATGTACTTATCAAGGCAAGGATCAGATCTTTGTTCCAGGGAGGGTTATTATCATTAACTAAAACTAAACCCATTAAAAATTGTGACATTGAAATAAACATTGAAACAACATAAACTAATAAATAAATAAATTACAAAATAAACTATTATTTTATTTCAGCTATTTGCAAAGGTAGCATTTCTCATTTTCATTTAGTTTAATATGAAGTACTAAAATAACTAAAACTAATTAATAAATATTAATAAATCAAAGAAATATTTAAAAATATCCAATGAAAATGACAAAAACACAAGGACAAACAAAATTACTGAAACTTCATCTAAACTTTCCGTGTCACCATTTCCACAGAAATATTAAACAGCACAATAGTTTTTAACATTGATAATAATAATAATAAATGTTTCTTGAGCACCAAATCAGCATATTAGATTGATTTCTGAAGGATCATGTGACATTTTCTGGCAACAGAAAATATGAAAATAAAATCAATTAAAAATACTAACTATAATAATAAAACTATAATAGCATATCAATGATAATAAAATAACCTGATAAAGGTTTAATATAGACAAAACAAATCAAAAGTGTCCCTAGAACATTTTAATAGTCTAAAGAACCTTTTTCCACTATAAAGAACCTTTTGTGGAATGAAAAAGTTCCATGGATGGTAAAGGTTATTTGTGGAACCATTGATGCCAATTTTTAAGAGTGTATGTCTGTATTTCGCAGGCCTTCTCCTGGTGGCCAGAGGCGATGGGGGAGCACGCCGAGACCTTCCTGTCTCTGTACACGGTGGACATGGACGCAGCATTGGCTGTCCAGCCGCAGGACTCCTGGGATAGTTTCCCCCTCTTTCAGCTGCTCAACAACTTCCTCCGAACTGACCGTGTGTAGTGTTTACCTTTCTTTCTCATTCTTTCTCCCCCCCCCTTCTGCTCCCGTTTGTCCAAAGTTCTGCTCGCATGTTCTCACCATTAAGCGCACTACTTAGCACCAGTATCGCTTTGGAAAACAATACTTGTTAGGCGAGCAGGTTAACATGCTGTGCTCTGTTATTGTTAACATGCTAATTAGATATACAGTGTGATCGGTTAGCGACACTGGAGGGGAAATTATCTCCATGTCACCTCAATTCTGGACGTTTTTGCAAATCCCAGAGTGTCCGACATACCCTGAGCACCGGTGTCTCTCGTAATCAACAAGAAATTTCCCGTGAAACAGTTTTGAGTACTTCACAACATGAAGTTAATTGTACAAGGAGCTTTTGGTCTATTGATAGAACAGCATCTAGAGCCAAGTTGAAGTTACAAAGATTGTTTTGCATGACTGGGACATTTGCGACGGTGATAAAGAGATTTGCTTTACTGTCTCGTTCAAACAGCAGTTGATTTGGAATAGATACGGTCGGTTATCTAGGGAGCATGACAATGGAAATGGCAGCCTCTAATAACACAGACAGTTGGCAAAAAGATATAGGGAACTCCCACACTGTTTCATATATGAACTTACTTGTAGAAGATCCAGTCGTATTGCTTTCCTCTGCCCTGTTCTCACTAAATTCATCTCAGTAAATTCATCTTTTTTATTCTTAAAGGTAGAATTATAATGAGCAAAGCCTGTTGGCGAACATGTTGAACATTTCTGATTTTTTTTTTTTTTAATTGCCTGTTAAAATTGGCAGATTTAAAGGGATAGTTCACCCAAAAAGGTTATCTGCTTACCCCCAGGGCATCCAAGATGTAGGTGACTTTGTTTCTTCAGTAGAACACGTAGAACACTTTTTAACTCAAACCGTTGCAGTCTGTCAGTCATATAGAGATAGGTGGCGGTAATGCACTTATAAGTCTGCGATCTTCCGTAAAGCAAGAAGAAGAAGACAACGCATCAAGCCGGCTGTTTGTTTTTACTCAAAGCCATGATTCCCATTCACTTCCATTATATGACTGACAGACTGCAACGGTTTGAGTTAAAAATCTTCGTTTGTGTTCTACTGAAGAAACAAAGTCACCTACATCTTGGATGCCCTGGGGGTAAGCAGATAAACATAAAATGTTAATTTTTGGGTGAACTATCCCTTTAAGGGAATAATTCACCCAGAAATGAATATTTTGTCATTTACTCAACCTTTATGTTGTTTCAAACTAATGACTGACAGAGAGATGCTCACGCTGCTCTTTTCCATTTAAAAAAAAAAAAATATGAAAATCACTTAAACATGACAGAAAAGTATCATAAAAATAATACAAGCACTTCTGAAACAATATAATAGCCATACAATAATTACTACTACGTGATTTAATTAATACTTTTATTCAGCAAGGATGCATTAAATTGATTAAAAGGGACAGTAAAGCCATTTATAATGCCACAAAGATTTGATTTCAAATAAATGCTGTTCTTTTGAACTTTATATTCATCAAAGAATCATAAAAAATCACAGAAATATTAAACAGCACAATTGTTTTTAACATTGATAGTAATAAGAAATGTTTCTTGATCATCAAATCAGCATATTAGAATGATTTCTGAAGGGTCATGTGACACTGAAGACTGGAGTAATGATGCTGAAACTTCAGATTTGATAACAGGAATTAATTTCATTTTAAAATATATTCAAATAAAAGACAGTTATTTAAAATTGTAATAATATTTCAAATTTTTACTGTACTTTTGAACAAATAATTGCAGCCTTGGTGATTTTTTTTGTGTGTGTATGTGTGAACAATGACAGAATATTGAATCATTTCTCTGGTTCATCATGGCACAGTGTCATTATCAGGAGGATATCTAATAATTATTCATGAAGTACATGTGAAATATTTCTGAAAAAATTAGACACAAAAGTTAAAAATGCTCATTGAGCAATATAAAAAGGAATTACATTTTATCCAAACATTTAGAGACTAAAATGTGATGAATTTCTTAGCCGAATGAGATCAAATTCAAATTGCCTAAATAATGTGGTATTATTTGGGACAATTAAAATAGCTGCACAAAAATCTCCATGCTACCTTGACTTTTTAAAATTTTTCTTGACAATTCCATTATTTAGAGTATATACTGTACATCTTAATTTGGCTCTGAATTCATCAGACGTTAAGCCTTAGAGCAACCAAATGAGAGTCGTAGGTAGCAGATAACACTGTAGCATATTCCAAATTAAATCTCTCATTTTCCTGATTAGTTTCAGTTGTGCGTGCTTTTTACAGTTTTGAGTGTGTGCACATGACAAAACAAATTGTGACATTGACACTAAATGCTCAAATGAGTTTCATCATTGTTAAATGGTTGGGAAATGAGCTCAAACACCCACGAGAGTAAAAAGGCTAGTGTTAATGATGAAGAACAGAGAGAGGGGAATTACAATTAATGATGCCTGAGGAGACATGAATCTCTTTCTCTTTCTCTCGCTCTCTGTCAGACCCCCATTTCCTTCTAAGTGCTTTGTGTAATGATTGAGGTGGATCAGACACATGAGTGTTATATTTAACAAATAGTGGACAATACCCGTCCCCAACAAGCAAAACACGTGGTAGGAAGAACCAGGCCTCTGGTTACCATGGTAACAAAGACACACATCGAGATAAGATTGTTTTACAACTCAAAGCAATGTAGAGTTTTCACTCTAAATTCACTTTGAAACAGACATGTACCCAATTTTCCCCATCTCATTATTTTTAGTGTTTTGCTTATGTATTGATACGAACTCTTTTAAATGAACATTTTAGAATTGCACACTATTGTTAACAGAGATCACGGGTATGCCATGTTTGGCATCTTTCGGCTGCATTTTTAATGGTCTAAAGGTTCATTTATATTATATGTCGATACCAATGGAAGGTACACAGCAAAATCCCCCGAGTTAAATTAACTCTGCTCAGAGTACATATTGTCCCAATCTACAGAATCATATGACCCCTTTAAAGTAACACTGAAGCCGAGTTACTATTGTTGAGGATTATGTGATATGTTTTCATGTCTAAAAGCCTGAGCAGTAGTTGTTCATCTTCAGCATTGTTAACAGCGGGTTTTCTTTACTAATGCTCACTCATCAATTAATTAATTGCTTAATTATCCCATTAACTTTAACTCGGCTTCAGTGTTACTTTAACACTCTGTAGATTGGGACAATATGTACTCTGAGCAGAGTTGATTTAACTCTGGGGATTTTGCTGTGTATTGGTGTTACCAGAGTAGCTTTAAGGATTCAACTATATTTGATTGAGAATTTACTGTTTGATAACTTTATTCGGTTTCTGTATATTTCCTACTTGCTGAAGGGCACAGTTTTGACATTTATTATAAAGGGTTTATGTGAAGATTGTTTTAAGTTCACTTAAATTAGAAGTTATTTTTTAAAGTCTAGTAAATGTTAAGATTGATAGCTCTCAATTATACTGTAATTGAATGGCTATAGTCAATGGTTAAATATTAGGGGGGAAAAGAACAACCTAGAGACATCAGTAGTATTGGTATCAGTGTTACTCGCCTTAAAAGGTGAAAAAGTCATAAAAAAAGATGCCACTAAACAAATATTAAAAAATATACTGTCTTTATGTAGTTTCTACATTAACTTGAAGATTGAATGTGAAATGATTGCAATATAAAAGTATATTTAAAAACTTTAATGTTAGGTGGGGTTAATCTCAATTAATTTCAGAAAAAAATGTCATTTATGTGCAAATGAGCAGCTCCACAACACAATGAAACCATGTTTACATGATATTCGGAAATCATTCCAATTGTTATGCAAATAAATTCACTAATTTGTTTCATTAGTTTAGTTCATTGTTTTTCAACACCATAAAAAACAGTATATTTTACATTACATTACATTTAGATTATTAATTTATTAAAGGTGACATATCATGAAAATCTTACTTTTCCAGGTTTTAAGTGCTATAATCAGGCCCTCGGTACATCTACCAACCAAGGAAACGTGAAAAAGATTAACCCAGTAACTTTGTTTTGGGAAGCCTTTTTCTGCAAGCGTCTCAGAAAATTAGCGCGTCTGATTTCGCTCCCTTGGTGACGTGGCAAAGGGATCTCATTATAATATTACTGCCCCTTAATCTGTAAGTTTCCACCCACGGCGCCGTCATTTTGAGTTCGCAAGCGACAACGGTGTACCAGTTTTAATGCCATGGTGAAAGTTTGAGCAAAACATGCTAACTGTTCTGTCTTTGGCTGCACAGACGAGCACAGAACACTG